GGGGCATTGATTTACATATTGGTTGAGATAAAAAGGCTCCTCAGTGCAATGATTTCATAGTTGTCCTTGAACACTCCCTGCACAGTTGATTTTTATAAAACTTTCCAGTCAAGAGAATGATGAAGGCAGCCCTTACAGAACAGTCATTGAAACAAAGACCTGCAAAATTTCACCAGTTCCCCAAAGTGATTCAAGGGAACGCATGATGAACAAGGAAAAAGAAAGTTGAAAGAGACATAGTAGAAAACATGAAAACAGCAGCACATTTGAGTTCAGGAAAAGTTTTATCCATTTTTTCCCCTTTAACATGCCCTTTTGAAGAAACCCAAAAGAAATGAATGCAGAGCAAGATCATTTTTGTTTTGCAAGCTCTTTTGCTATTTTATGTGGTGTTTTTATTAGTTGTTACTTGCCCAGAATTGATTCGCCAAGATGGGCAGCCATAAAAATTCAAATAAAACCATGGCAAGGGAAATAGTAAGAACAATTTTAATAGAAATATTACCAAAAACTGTCATTGTAGGTTAAAAAATAAGAAGGAAGGAAGGAAGGAAGGAAGGAAAGAAGAAAGAAAGAAAGAAAGAAAGAAAGAAAGAAGGAAGAAGGAAGGAAGGAAGGAAGGAAGGAAGGAAGGAAGGAAGGAAGGAAGGAAGGAAGGAAGGAAGGAAGATTAACAATGGAGATACAGTATAAGCTGAAAAGAAACAGAAAAAAATGACAATAGTGTGTTGTCTCGTAGTATCTAATCTGGGTCATTCACTGGGACCAAAGATTCAGTCTTCTGAGCTTTTGGACTCATGCCAGAGGCCATCCTCAGGAAACTTCTATCAAACATGAGTCTTCAAGCTCAGAAGACTAAACAATTAAAAATAGTTTAGAAAGCACAATTTGTTGGATGTCCACAAGATATACAGTCAATGTAAGAAATATCTGTTTAACCAATGTTCTCACAATGGACAGAGAAAAATAAATGAGTCACATTATATTCCCTCATTTGGAATGTCACAGATAAATCTCAAGTAAGATATGGTAATATATATTATAGTCTACAAAATGAGACCATAATATATATATATTACCATTTCCTTGTAGAGGAAGGAAGCTGAGGGATTTGAATGTGTCTCATACCCCAAGGCTTCATGGGAGTGGAGATTTGCAATTTCCAATATCTGGCGGTCTTGGCACTGCCCAACTGAGGGGAGAAAGCTTCAGGCATCAGGCAATTTTATATAGATTAATATAGAAAGAATTAAGAAGGAGAGAGACTCGGGTTTAAGGATGTTGAGTGTAAATAAATGGAGAAGGAACGAAAAAGGAATAATATGTAGAAAAAATGAGACTGAGGAAATTTAGCAATACTGAAAGCAAAAAAAGGACAGTGTAAATAAGTATAAGTTGATCAGATGTAGAGAAAGTTCGTGACAGGTTTCAGATTCACTTCCTCTCATGGTGCCTGTCACACAGTAATAGACGGCCATATCTTTAGCTTTGAGGCTGTTCATCTGCAGATACAGCTGGCTTTTGGCATCGTCCCTGGAGATGGTGAAGCGTCCCTTCACTTTGTCTGAGTAGTAAGTACCGGAACCAGTACTTATGTAGGCCACCCACTCCAGTCCTTTCCCAGGAGCCTGTCTCACCCAGCCCATGTAATAGTCACTGAAGGACAATCCAGACGCTTGGCAGGAGAGTCGAAGGGATTCTCCAGGTCTTCTCACATCCCCACCAGACTCCACCAATTGGACATCAGATTGGACACCTAAAAAGAAATTATTTCAGTGAGATCTCCTGTATAGAAGGAGAGCAAGTAAGGACACCAGGTTCAGCCACAATCATTTTTGCTTTCCCTGTAATGAATAGAATAGAATAGAATAGAATGGAATGGAATGGAATAGAATAGAATAGAATAGAATAGAATAGAATAGAATAGAATAGAATAGAATAGAATAAGAACTAGAATAGAATAGAATAAGAACTAGAATGGAATATAGAATAGAATAGAATGATAAAATATAGAATAGAGTAGAGCAGAGTAGAGTAGAATGGAATGGAATGGAATAGAATAGAATAGAATAGAATAGAATAGAATAGAATAGAATAGAATAGAATAGAGCTGGAAAGGACCTTTGAGGTCTTTTAGTCTGGCCCCCTACTCAAACAGGATTTGGGAAAATGCACAAACTTTGTGGTGGTGGGTGTCACTGGAAAAAGGAAACCAACTGTTGCCTTTAAAGGGGAAATTGTGCCTTTCATTTACATATTGGTTGAGATAAAAGAGTTCCTCAATGCAATGATTTCATAGTTGTCCTTCCACACTCCTTGCACAGTTGATTTTTTTCAGTCCAAAAAAAAATGAAGGTAGATCTTACAAAAGAATAATTGAAAGAAAGACTTGCAAAATTTCACCAGTTCTTAAAAGGGATTCAAGGAAACAAATCACGAACAAGGTAAAAGAACAGTTGAAAGGACATGTTAAAAAATGTGAAAACAGCAGGACATCTGAGTTCAGGAAAGGTTTTATACATTTCCCCCCCCCCCCCACCCTTTTACTATGACCTTTTGAAGAAATCCCAAAGAACTGAATGCAGAGCAAGATTGTTTTTGTTTTGGAGCCTCTTTTTCTACTTTGTGTGGTGTTTTTATCAGTTGTTACTTGCCCTGAGTTTATTTGTCAAGATGGGCTGCCATTTTTTCACTTTATTATTGTTAATGTTTTCATTATTATTATTAACATTATTTTTACAGTGGTCTTTATGACCATCTAATTATTATTATTGTTGTTATAGTAATATCATATATTTATTATTATTATTTAGTGAAACTCCTTCCTTCCAAGGAAGGAAGGAAGGAAGGAAGGAAGGAAGGAAGGAAGGGAGGGAGGGAGGGAGGGAGGGAGGGAGGGAGGGAAGGAAAGAGTTAACAATGCTAAAACTGACTGAAAAGAAACAGATAAAATAAATAGTGTTGTATTCTAGGATCCAGTCTTGTCATTCACTTGGACCAGATCTTTAGTCTTCCTAAACTTTCAGAATGTGCTGGAGCCCATTCGCAGAGAATTTGTGTCTAACTTCTTCTCTGTGTGCTTTGTGCTATTCTGGCTATGTTATTTAGTTGTTGATTTGGGTGTTGGGGTATTGATGGCCAGCTATTAAGTTGTTTTGAAGCCAATTTTCATTGTCTTCCAACTGGATCCCTAGAACAAAAGATTCCAGGATCTTGGGCTGAATCAATTTGCAGAGCTACTCTGAAGAAAGGAAGGTTTTTGCTTTGCTTCAGATTCACTTCGTCTCACTGTGTATCTCGCACAGTAATAGACTGCTGTGTCTTCAGCTTTGAGGCTGTTCATCTGCAGAGACAGCTGGCTTTTGGCATTGTCCCTGGAGATGGTGAAGCGGCCCTTCACTTGGTCAGAGTAGTAAGTACTGGAACCAGTAGTTATGTAGGCCACCCATTCCAGGCCTTTCCCTGGAGCCTGTCTCACCCAGCTCATGCCATAGCTGCTGAAGGTGAATCCAGAGGCTTGGCAGGAGAGACGGAGAGACCCTCCAGGGCTTCTCACGTCCCCTCCAGACTCCACCAACTGGACCTGTGACTGGACACCTAGAAAGAAATGGGTTTCAGTGACATCTCTGTAAATAGCAATGGTGAATTGAAGGAAATGCTAGAGAGGGAAGCATTACCTTGAAGGGCTGCTAGTAAGAAGACCAATTTTGGCCACACAGTCATTTTTGCTCTTTCTAATGAATGGAGGGGAATTGACAGGAAAGTACTCAGGAAAGTGCTCAAACTTTGTCTTGCAGGAAACCACCTGGCTGCTTTAAATGGGAAATTGTGGTATGATTTACATATTGCTTCAGATAAAAGAGCCTCTCGGGACATTAACCTATAAATTTCTTTGCACACATATTACAAACATGATTTACAAATCACATTACAGAAATACATACATACATACATACATACATACATACATACATACATACATACATACATACAGCAGACAGACAGAAAGTGAGTGGGTCAAGGCAGGAATGTTTTATTATTATGATTCATTACATAGTGATCCAGATGTTTATGATAGCATTGGCATTTTTATCCACCTATCCTTTAGGGAAAAGAGAGGTTTACACTACAGTAATTAAAATCAGATTTGAAAAATCTTCATAGTTCAGGAAAATCTTTGAAAATAAGAGAAAGAAACCATGCACTGAGAATAATTTAAATAGGAAATAACATTTTCCCTTGACCTTGGTACATTGAAGAGACTCAAAACAACTGAATGCTAACCAAGCCATTGGGCACAATTTGTAAGCCACATGTGAATTGTGTTCACTTGTCCAAGTTGAGGTCCTTTTTTATTATTAGATTGGTTTTATCTGAGCAGATTTATGCTTTTTGTCAACACTGCTAACATCGGATGTTCTTGCTTTGACAACAGATGGAAATGTAGCCATTTTTCCTCTATTGCTTTTAGAGTTCATTGATGCTGGGAGGGGAATGTGGATGAGAGTCCAGTTAGTCATAAGAATAATAACTCAACCATGGGAACCCAAGGTAATTAGGTCCAGAGGTCCAGATTTGGCGGGCTGGAGAGCTGGGGAGAAAGCCCGCGCTTCAAGTTCATTGGGGAATGTGATTTATAACTGTTAATTGGAGGAGGGAATTGTGCTTTGCTACTTTGTGCCAGGGGAGAGGAATTCACTTTTTGGCTTCAGCTATGTAGTGCCGATACTTTGTTTCTCGAATAAAAGATTCTTTAAGGTAAAGTTCTTTTGGAGAGTTTCATCTATTGGAACCATGACACTTTTCACATACTGGTTGTTTTTTGGTTGCTATTTTTGTGTAATGTTTCTAGTGGTTGTTCACTGCCAAGATATGATTCCTCAAGATGGATAGTCATGCAAATTGAAATTATAATATTAATACTGCCTATACTAATACTATTAATAACAATGCTACCATGCACAATTTCCCTGTGGACTAAGAAATATAAATACAGCACTTTGTAATCACTAAAAAAAAAAGAATTTTGTTCTATATTTAGCAGAGGACATCTGTAGTCAACTCAGACAGGCTTGAGATGTTCAAATTTCTTGAGTTCCTTTCAGTGTGCCCTTCCAAAAATGACTGGTCATTCCATTTCAAATGTGACTCTTTTATTCTTGAGGGTAGGGGGAATTCTTATTTATATTCCCAAGTCCAGTGGAACCATAAAATAATGTTTCAGGAAGCACCATCCAGATGATCTAATTCAAACTGTCCCTAACTGGCAGATCTTGTCTTCTCACCTCCAGCTAAATGAAAATCTTCTAGCCAGATTTTGAAAGGTTTCCCTGTTCTCCCTTCATCCTATTTTTATTGTGACAAGGTTAATACAAATAATAATTTGTAATAATAACACAAATTGCAGGAAGGAAGGAAGGAAGGATAATGAAAAGAAACAGAAAAAAAGAATCTTGGTATTTCTTCTGCAGCAAATATAAATATATTTACAATATTAACTCTTACTTTAGGTTACAAAAAGTAGACCTTCTTTTTCAATGACCCATTTTTTTAATCATCGAAAATATAAATGATTACTGTATGTTTTTCCTTTTCATACAAAATGTTTATGGGTGCGGGATTGGATCCGACTGGAAAATCGGAGATTATTAAAATTGGAAGGTCATGACATGCACACTGGATGGCACACCATGTTATGGGACGAGAAACACAAAGTTCATCAGTACTTCCGGAGGCACTACATTAGACGGGCGTTAATAGATGTATGGACCAAAATCCAGCAACAGAATTATAGGCAAGTTCCCAACTGGATTTCAACACTAGAAATGTACATTCATCCAAGGTTCATTCAGTTGGGGAAAGTAATAACCTATAAAAACATACTTGATGAGAGAGGAGAATTAAAATCTAGGAAAAATCTTCAAGATGCAGGGATAGAATTAGAATGGTGGGCATACCAAGATATAGGAAAGACAAAAAAGAGTGGGGTATAAAAATAGAATCGACAGAACAAAATGTTTATGAAGGGTTCTCTAATCAAAGACATTAGTTTAAATTCTCTGCAGTTTCCATCATCTTCACCATTAATCCCTCCTTTGTGGATAGAGTTGAGTGTTTCCATTTTTGAGCACGTAATAGTCTCCCTGCAGCTTTCATATGTAAAATGAGAGCTTCTGACTTTTTTTTTAGTTGCTTATCTAATAGTCCCAAAAGAAAACTCGCTTCTTTCAACTATAGCTTAATTCTCATTTTTTTTCTGGATTAGTGCACATACCTACAGTATATCCTTTTTTAAAAATCTTTTTTGCATGCCCACCAAACCTGACAGAATTTTTCTCTATGTTGTTTTCATTTCAATCAGAGATTTGAACTATCTAGAAAGTTGTTGTTGTTGTTGTTGTTGTTTCTGGTGACAAAAACCAATGATACATATCATTTTATAAAAAATATCTCCTTCACAGTGAAGATTGTAGCCTCCTAAGATGTGGAATTTTCTTGAGAGATTTTCAGGGAACAGTTATAGAAAGAACAACCAATGATCACTCCTCCAAAATGAGGCATTATCTATATAATTTATTTATTCCTTGCCCAAACCCCAACTGGTTCATAGACCATGGAATTTGGTGTGACAACATTGCCCCCCACTGTCAAAGGTGAGGAGAGGACACATCTTCCTAATTCTCATGTATGTGTTTCACTTTGAGAGTGGGCAACTAAATTTCATTTTTGATGTGCGCCGTTATGCCCACAGTAAAAAAAAAAATGACAATAAAGGTTATCTTATCTTATCTCCAAAGAAATTCTTTTGCTCCACATGTTTCCTCAACATGTGAGTGGCAGTTTGGATATTTAGATGGATTATCTTGAAGTTTCAGTTCCAGACTTCTGCCATGATACTAAAGCAGAATACTCCATTCCAGGAGTGAGAAATACAAATATAGCACTTTGTATTCACCAAAAAAAAAAAAAAAAAAAAAAAACCAGTTTCTTCTATATTTAGCAGAGGACATCTGTTGTCAACTCAGACATGGCTTCATGCTGTGGGTTGAAGCCTCTTGAGATGTTTAGTTTCCTTTAGATCCTTTCAGTGTATTTTTCCCCCCAAAAATGACTAGTCATTCCATTTAAAGTGTTTCTTTATGTCAGATTTTATTATCTTGGATGTGGGATTCTTATTTATATTCCCAAATCCAATAAAATCATGGAATAATCTTTCAAGAAGCACCACCCAGATCATTTAGACCAAACCATCCCTAACAGCCAGAGCTTCTCTGTTCACCTTTAACTTGAATTTGGGAAGGTCTCCCTGTTCTCCCTTCATCCTTGGTTGATAATGAGGTTGATAATGAGATGGAGTGCATATAAAATAAAAATAAAATATAATAAAATAAAATAGAATAGAATAAATAAAATCAGCTTGGAGAACTGCTCATAGGGCAAGAAGGTTCTTGACGGGCTTCAGATTCACTTCCTCTCACTGTGTCTTGTGCACAGTAATAGACAGCTGAATCCTCTGGTTTAAGGTTGTTCATTTGCAGATACACCCGAGTGTGGGAATCATCTCTGGACATGGTGAACCGTCCCTTGACTTTATCTCTGTAATAAGCAGTAGGAGGTGAGCCCGTAGTTATGCGGCCCACCCATTCCAGGTCTTTCCCTGGATACTGTCTCAACCAGTTCATCCAGAAGACATTGAAGTTGAAACCAGAGGTTTGGCATAAGAGACTGAGGGACCCTCCAGGTCTTCTCACATCCCCTCCAGACTCCACCAACAGGACCTCAGATCGGACCCCTAAAATGAAAGGAGTTTCAGTGAGCTCTCCTGTACACAAGAACTAAAATGGAATAAGCTGAATAGGGAAGAAAAAAATATTACCTCTGAGGAGAGCGAGTAAGAACAACAGGTTTTGCCACAGGGTCATTTTTGCTTCCTCTAATGATTGCAGGGAAATTGCTAGAAAAGGGTTTTTTTATTATTATTATTTAGCCATACTCTAAATAAATAGATAGAAAAGAATTCAGGAAAGGGCTCAGATTTTGTATAGCCTAAAAAGGGAAATCTTGTGGCTCCTTTAAAGGGCAAATTGTACCCTGATTTACATATTGCTTGGGTTAAAAGAGACCCATTCATTTTTTTAAGATGTCTTTCCACAGACTTTAAATGCATGATTTTCAAATGATGTTCCAATCATTAAAAAAAGAAAAGAAAAGAAAAGAAAAAAACTAATGCCAGTTTTCATGCTTTGTTTTTGTTTTCATATGAGTAGATAGGAGGAAGAACTGGTTTACTTTAGAGTCAGTAAAAGAAGGACTTTAATCATCCCAACACTTCTGAAATAAATTTATAATAAATAGGATACATTTATACAAAGACATGTTTACAGAAATATATTAACTACCAAAT